ACAAGCCTATGGCACATCAGATGCGAAGTCGGACAGAGCAAGAACACAGGATGGGCCTCATAGGAAGAGGGGCCTGGAAAGTCCTGTCCCAGGAGATGGACTCTGCCCTCTGGTTTCCTCCTTCTTCTGTGCCTTGGCCTCATTAGCTTTGCTCTCTGTTAGCTCTCTGATGCTTTCAAATAGATTTTCTGCTAATGTTTTGTCCATCTTTTCTAGATGTTCTCTGAAGTGTTGATCCAATTTACCTTGTCTGCAATTAGCATAAGCAGATATGTGAGGGAATTTTCTGGATCCATCATCCACGTTTTTAGCCACTTCTCTGTTATTTTAATTTCTTCATCTTTATGCCCTGCATTCTGAAAGAATTCCTCAATTTGATCATCTGTATGACAAATTTTGACCCTTTATTATGTTTTTTTGAATTATGATGAAATACACATAATATAAAATTTACCATCTTAACCATTTTGGGTGTACAGGTCAGTGACACCAAGTACATTCACATTGTTGTGTATTGTGTTTTTAAAAAATATGTAGCCTACACTGTCTTTTACTCCCAAGAATTCTTTACTGTCCCTCGTCTCTTTCTTTTCCACGGCAATTTTATGGGTGGGCTGGCCTTTGGATCTTTTTAAGGATAATAGTGGTTTTTAGTGTTATTTTCTGTGTTCTGCATTAGCTCTGTATTCTCAGAGAGGAATGATTTGCCTCTGCAGAGTTTGCCTTCTTGCTTTCATGCTACTGGTTCTTCTCAAACACCTCATGGCTCCTGACTGTATTATAGGTTCATGCCTGTAGTTGCAGATGTAGCCTGGAGGTTCCTGACCCTGCCTGCACATTAAAGTCACCCATATACAGTTGATCTGGAGCAAGACGTGGGCTCCGGCGAGGGCTTTGAAACTCACCAGGGAACCCTAAGGTGCAGCCAGCAATGAGAGCGACTTGTCAAAGCATGGGGTCTACAGTGACACACTTTCCTGGATGCAGTGAATTATCGACGGCATTCTCTGCCCAGATGCCCCAAAACAGCTCTGCTCCCAGACCTGCTGTTTCACGTTTGGGGCTTTCCAGGGATCTGTTTGGAAAACTCACTTTTTTTTAAAGCGTCCTTGCCTACTTAACTCTAAAATGTATGTCCTTACATGTATTAGACTTCCTCATCAATCCACTTTCCTCTGCCTTATATCTCTCAGATGTCCCTCTCTATCTTCTGAAGAATCTTATTTCATCTACTGAAGAGATTTTCCCCAGTTTCCCAGCACAACTATACATGTATCCTTTTAAAAAAAATATCACTTGTCTTTTTAAAGGGAATTTAGTTTGGAGAAAAGGAAAACAATTGTGCTCAGACAGGCTTCCTAAAATAGAAATTTTTATTTAAGTCTTTGAAATTTGGCATTTCTGCGATTTGGGACATTATCATGGAATCAGCTTACTGGCTCATTAGCCAATTAATCAAATTGCCAATCAATCTAATTTTCATGACTCTATACTTCAATAATTTCTGAATGAATGTCAAGGCCTTGTCAATTAATGGACAGCTTCTGTGCCTAACTTTGCACATTACAAATTTCAGAATCTCTTATGCCTTTTTTTCTTTTTTCAGTTAGAGACCATCACAAGAGCAAATATTGAACAAATGCTGCCAGGTTAAAACGTTGTGGATTGTGACTCCTACTGATTCCATCAGTATTTATTAAGCAAGCATCACGCCATCTAAGGTGCCGATTCTTGGTACGTGAAAGCCGGAAGCAGTCTTCATGACTGCCTCATCCAATTCCCTACATTTTTCAGTGAGAAAGTAATGTCCAGTGTCTCTTCTACACACTCTATTTACGCTCTATCTGTTGGTACGATCTTGTCATCACACAGCTCTACGTCACAGGTCCCTCCTGACGTTGCCCAGATCTGTATCTCTGGTGCTGGCCTTTCCTATAATGTGAAGAGTTCACTGTGCCACTGCCTCTTGACATCGATTTGACGTTGAACAGTCACCTCAAACTTAATATGGCTTATACTAGCTTCGTGTTTTCTTCCTCAAACCTGTTCTTCCCTGTAGGGGCAGAAAAGCTCTCCCTTCTTCCCTTCTAGGTTCTTTGGCTGGCCTAATAATTAAATTGACATAAGACAGACTAATAGAAATAAAAAAAATTTAATTTCATACTCATGTGGAGCCCCATAAAAATAGGAGACTCAAAGAAGTGACCAAAGCAGGAAGCTTTTATACCTTTTAGACAAAGAAACAACAAATTTGTGAAGAATTGACAAGACAAAGGGGTTTGGGCTTGGGTAGTAAATTAGTGAAGAAAGAACAAGCCTTCTTGGCCCTAAATTCTCTATTTCTGATGATAAAGATGCCTTCCACCCTCCTCATAAAGGGAAGGTACCTTTCACATGGGAGATGTATTTCCTGTTCTCAGAGTGACCAAGAAGGGCCAGAGTATCCTTCTAGCACTCGCTATTTCTCAAGTAACTTTAATTCAAAATAATCAATATGCCAAAGTGGCATATTTTGGGGCGGCATATTCTGTTCCCCCTAACTAATCTCTTGAGTGTGACTCTTGATTCACCTCTTTTCCTCATGCAAACATCCAGCCTGTTGGCCAATCATGTTGACTCCACCTGGAAGACATATTTCCAGTTGTCCCACTCTGTCTAGCCACTGCCCGGTCTAGGTCACCTCCTAATTCATTGCCTCACTGGCTTTTACTGGGCCCCAAATCCATCTTCCATCTTTTAAAAGGGAAAATCAGATCCTCTCATCTCATGTTTCTGCTTGAGGCAGTACACAGCTTCCTGTTGCACTTGAAGCAAACCCGGATGCCTGTCCCTTCCACAGGTGGGTAAAGTCTTGAATGCTGGTGCCTCTGCCCCCCTCCCACTCCCAGCCATGTTCTCCTCTACCCAGACCCACTGTGTAACCCTAGACTGACATCTCTGGTTGGGCCTCCTCACTGAGCTCAGATGTGTGCACCCCTGCCTTTTGGACTTCCACTCCTGAGGTCTGGTGACCACCTCCAGGCCTGCCCCTCCTACTGCTCCTGCCCCAGCAACTCAAGTTTTCAGCTGCTCAGGCCAGACTCAACTCTCTTCCTTCTTTTATACCCCACACCCAGTCCAATAGCAGATCCTGCTTGCTTTAAGTAGGCCATATCCTACCCTTCACCATGGCCACTCTGGCCTGAACCAGCATCCGCTCTCTCCAGGATCACTGCCATGGCTCCTTACTGTCTCCCTGCTGCTGAACTCACCCCTCTGCATTCTTTGTACACAGCAGCTGGATGATCTTTGAAAAACCTGAGTCCAGTCACATGACGCCTCTGCTCAAAACCTTCCAAGGCTCCCTTTCTCACTCAGCTAAAAGCCAAAATCCTCATGGTGATCCTCCAGGCCCTACATGAGCCCACTCCTGGTTACACCTCTGCTCACTCACTTGGCTCTAGTCACCAGCCCATCTGGCTGAGCCTGGAGCCTCACAGTTTCCTGCACTTGCTGTTTCTTCCTCCAGATGTCTGGTCTGCAAGGCTTGTTTCCTTAGGCCTCTGCTCAGGTCTGCCTAGGAAGGTTCCTCCCACAGCCCCCACTACAGTAGGTGAGCATACCCTTCCCCACAGGTTTCCTGCGCCTTTCCGCTTCCTGTGCCCTCCTTGTGGGAATCCCTCAGGAGAACAGAACAAGAGAGCTGGGAACATGCCCAGTCCCTGTTCAGTTGCTGCCTATGTTATGGGACTCCCATTCCAATGTGAGTAGGAGCGTTTTTCCCACACCAAGCAATTCTCCGATACCAGCTGAGTCTCCTGCAATTCAACTCAAGGCTGACACCATCTATCTATCTGGGATAGTAACAGATTCCACAGGTTAAAGGCTCATTCCCACAAGACTGCTCCTACTTCAGGCACCAATCACAAGTCCAGCTTGTCACCTGTGCTTTTGACCAACAGTTTATAGATCGGGGGTTTCCATGACCCCCTCCTTGGGTTGGATTAATTTGCCAGAGCAACTCACAGAAGTCAGAGAACCATTTTAATTACTAGATCATCAGTTTATTTTAAAAAGATATAACTCAGGAACAGCCAGATGGAAGAGATGAATAGGGCAAGGTATGGGGAAAGAACCTGGAACTTCCAAGTGCTCTCCAGGCAACACTCTCCCAGTGTCTCCACATGTTCACCGACCCCGAAACTCTCTGAACCCTGTCTTTTTGAGTTTTTATAGAGGCTTCATTACATAGGCATGGCTGATTAAATCATTGGCCATTGAAGATTGATTCAACCTCCAGCCCCTCTCCTCTCCCAGGAGGTCAAGGGGTACAACAGAAAGTTCCAGACTTCTAATCACATGGTTGGTTCCCCTGGTAATCAGTAGCATCCTTAGGTCCTTTCCAAAAGTCACCTCACTGAGATAAACTCAGCTGTGGTTGAAAGGGATTTGTTATGAACATCAAGACATCTTTATTACTCTCATCACTCAGGAAATTCCAAGAGTTTTAGGAACTCTGTGCCAGGAAAAGGATGAAGACCAAATATATATTCTTCTTATAAATCACATCACACTGCCTCTTCCTACTAGGATGTTATATCCAGGAGAATATCTGTCGTCATTGGCAATTCTCTGCTGTGATCCCAGTGCCTAGAACAGTGCTGGGCACACAGTAGGTGATGAACAAATATTCCCTGAATGAGAACAATGAAAGTGACTTGCCTAGGGCCCAGCAACAGGGCCTTGTTAGGGCTTACTCGTCCAGAGAGCCAGCCCGGAGTCCATCCAAGCCTTGATCTGGCCTGGACAGATGAGTTTGAGAGTTTAGCTGGCAGAAGACATTCAAGCTCAAAACCCCTGTGGAACAATCTAAGGGAGGTTTACACACCACTGCATACCCCTCAGAACAAAAGTAATTCCACGAGGTTCAATAGATCCCGCAGCATGGGAACTTCCAGGAATCAAGTTGAGCGAGGCCTTAGTGGAAATACTGAATTCAGATTGGTGAAGAGCAAGTGGGCAAAGATTCCAGAATTATGGAGCAGTGTGACTCACGGAGCCTTGGAATCTTAGAGTGGAATGTAGATGGGAACAAACAAGGCCCTTCTGAGAAGGCCTGTCTTCTTGCCCTGTGGCTGGGCAGGGAGTCCAGAGGGGCGGAATTAAATCAGCAATTTGATGCCAGTTCCCCCGAGGGCCTCAAAGGACCTCCGCTTGAGGACTCAGCATTTGACTTTGTAAACAGTAAACTCCAGGGTAAGGAATGAAAGGAAGGGTCAGGTAGGTCAAGTAACCACTCTGGAAACATGTGGTCTGGCTGAAGCGAGGAGACTAGGAGGCAGGGAGCCCCACCCCGGAGGCTTTGGCCCAACCTTGGGGGTACCTGTAGGGACAGGAGGCATCTGTGGAAACGGAGGGAACCAGCAGACCCCAAGCCCTCTCTGAGTCAGATGATGAAGGAAAATGTGGATCCATGTGGTCTTAGTCACTGGAAACCAGAGAACTTATGGTCCTTCATTTGTTGTTAATACTTAGTTTCAGATGTCATTGGTCCACTGTGAGATCTGGTTTCTTTCTCTGAAAATGTAGATACTTTAGCCAAACTTTTCTCTGATCTGGTCCTCGACACATCAATATTGTACCCCTAGGGAATGGCAGTGGGAGTTTGGGGGGCAGCTTGATATATGGCATGGGTTCTTTTTTTAGTACCAGTACTACCCTTAGTACCTTCTCTACCCTCCTTGTGCTGGATTCTGGTAGATATTGTGGTGTGTGGCAAGGCTCCCTGTAGAAATGTGAGACCCTGGTGGCTGGATGGGGTGTAAGCCAGGGTACAGGAGGTGAGGAGTATCCTGAGAGAGGGTCGGGGGAAAAGGTAAGTGATTCCAGCAAAACTGGGGAAGCGACTTGCGAGCAGGTGCCAGAGGGAAGAACCCAAGGCCAGTAGAGGCTACTGAAGTGGTCTCTTGGGAGATGATAAGAGTGTGCCAACAGCAGGAAGAGAAACAGGGCTGGTCTGAAGGAGGAGGAGGCCAACAGCTCTCCAAATCCAGACAGGCAGTACCCAAAAGTGCACCTCTTACCCAAATCCTTAGCCGTGGACTCCTTGGCAAGAAATCCCTGCATCTCATCTCTGTGCTTCTACCGCCCTGTCCCAGCCGTGGTCCCTCTGGGGGAGAGTCTTACTGCAGAAGTGGGGACTCCCCAGTACCAGCATAGTCTTCTCTCACTGCCCACCTTTCACACACTCCCCTCTCTGATTCCCCTGAATCCCCCAACAACCTTCCTCAGTTCCTTGTCGCTGTCTGCACCATAGAGGCCACCACAGAACTACAGTACAGCACACTGGAGTATTTTGGCCCTCAGGGTTGACCAGAGAGGAAGAGAGACGGAAATAGCTGCAAACCAGAGCCTGCCTTTGCTACAGCGAAATGCCTCCTTTCAATTAAGAAAAAAAAGTCCTATTTAGGGAAGTAAGGAAGGCAGTGATGGTCACGGAAAGGAAAAAGTCTAGTTCACCCAAGAAGTGAATCTGAAAGTGGGTGGAGTCTGGTCAAGGGAGGGAAAGGGGTTGAGGCGACCCAGACTCGAGACTTCTTGAGTCTCCCCAGAAGCAGTTGTCCTCGGTAAATAAGATTTAAAAATTGGAGCACTGGTATTCCATGGCTCATTTGGATTTTGATGCTAGTTGATTCCTGGAGGAGACTCCTGACCCAGGGTCCCCAGAGACTAGTCCCCTTGCAGGGCGCTGGAGGCAGGGCTGCCCAGGGACGGCGGGGCCTCTTCTCTCACACTCCTCAGCGTCCTCTCCCCTACCAAGAGCAGGGTGCCTTTGCTCTGTTCTGACACCAAACTGATGCTTCAAGGAAAGGAAACCAAACTGCTCTAAAGTTTCCAGCCCCGGCTGTTTCTGCTTCCCGCTCTCCGCAGTGTCCCCGCCGGGCGCGGCGCGGGGCGGGGCCGGGAGCCGCCGCGGCGGAAACGGCCTGGGCAGGCGCGAGTACCGGGGCTCGGTGCGGCGGCCCAGCCTGCGCCCTGCCCCGACTGCGGACAGGCGGCTGGGCGCAGGGTGGGCCGGGCGGGCGCGCGCTGACCGCCATCTCCGTGCGTCCCGCAGGCGGGGAGTTCGAGCCGCCGCGCCCGGCCGCGGGCGATGATCGTCTAGGAGGCTGGCGCGGGCGGGCGCGAGCGGAGGAGGAGCCGGCGCAGGGACACGCGGCTATGGAGCGGGAGCCGGCGGCGGCCGAGGAGCCCGCGCCCCCGGGGCGGCGGTGGCGGTGGCGGCGACGGCGGCGCCGGGAGGGCAGGAAGCGCACGGTGCGCTCCAACCTGATGCCGCCACCGGGTGCTGAGGACACCGCGGCAGGAGCGGCCAAGGGCGCGCGGCGGCGGCAGTGCGGGGGCGCCCAGCACCTGGCGGACAACCGGCTCAAGACCACCAAGTACACTCTACTATCCTTCCTGCCCAAGAACCTGTTCGAGCAGTTCCACCGCGTGGCCAACGTGTACTTCGTCTTCATCGCGATGCTCAACTTTGTGCCAGCGGTGAACGCCTTCCAGCCTGGCCTGACGCTGGCGCCCGTGCTGTTCATCCTGGCCGTCACGGCCTTCAAGGACCTGTGGGAGGACTACAGCCGCCACCGCTCGGACCACGAGATCAACCACCTGGGTTGTCTCGTGTTCAGCAGGTGAGCTGAGCGGGCCTGGCGGGGGAGTGCGGAGTCCACGCAGGGCCGGGCGCTCCGAGAACTTAGTGTTGGGCGCGGTGTGAGTGGCACTGGTTGAGGGTGATGGGAGAGCAGTGAACTCGGGACAGAGAGTCTGGCAGCCCTCGAGGGGCCTGGGGCTGAGCGAGGGCATTGCAACCGGGGTGCGGAGAGCAGGAAACGCTAGATGCCGGGGCGCGTGGCCGGGGGACGTACCCTGTCCCTGATCCTCACTCAGACCCTGCGTCCCAACCAGAGTGATCCCAGGGCTGGAATTCAGCCGCTGCTGGGCGTCCTCATTCCCAGCCGCTCCCGCCTTTTTTTATAAGCAGAAAGGGGGGAAATTATTCCCAGATGCCCTGACCTGAAGTCTCTGCTTCAGTCTTTGGCTAGCCCTTGTGGGCCAGGATGTTTAATAACTCTAACAGCCAGCACAGGAGTTTAAAGCTCTGTCTTGGAGAACAGCTAGTCTTGGGACGATGGAGTGAAACTGCCACCTACTTCTGACATGCCCAGCAAAGATCAGATGAAAGGACAGGAGTAGTATCAGCAGTGTCCATTCCTTGGTGTGAGCTGTGAGCAGGCCACCCAGCTGGGCACCATCCTATAGCTGACTGTTTCATTTTCTTAAAACTGATCCCAGTTTCCAGATGGAAAGACTGAGGCTCTGAGGGATTTTTGAGCCATACCCACAGTTAGTACCGGGAAGTTCCTTCTGCTGGGCTGCTCCTGCTCCTTCTCTCTCTCTGCACCTCCCCAGAGTTTTAGACCTTCAGGCTGGGCCTGTCCAGGATGCCTGCCATCTCTTCTTCCTTTATATCCAAGAGAACTGCTTGTCTGCAAATCCATCTTGGAGCTGTATTTAGTATTGGAGCCCACCTCAAGGTCACACCTCTCAGGAAGGCAGATGGTCCTGGCCACCATCCCAAGCTGAGCCCATCTTTCTCTCCTGTTTGCCTTGCTTGATTCCTCGTGTAATGGTTAATGTGAGCCCTGAGTTGGAGGACATTAACCTTGCCCAGTCTCTATCCCCTGTGAAGGTCTCTAGGAAACCCCTTGTGCTCTCAGTGGCGCACTGTTATCCTAAAAGATGGGGGTCACAGTAGAATAGGTAGGATAGCTCAGATGAAGACCGTGAATCCCCTTTCCTGCCTTTGAGTACCTCTCACCCTACCAGCAACACTGGTTGTGCTTCATACTTATTTTAAAAGTGAATAAACAGAGATTCAGAGAGGTTAAGTCTCTTGCCCAGGGCCACACAGCTGCTATGTAGTGGTACTGGAATTTGACCCAGGTCTTTCTGACAGCACAGCTTTTCCAGTATTCCAGTGCTTGTGCTTCTTAAATTTATGTAGGAATCACTTGAGGAGCTTGTTACAAATAACAGTTCTCAGGCTCCATTCCCAACATTTCTGACCAAGCTCATCTGGGATTGGGCCCAGGAAGCTGAGTATTTAATTAGCACAGAGATGATGCTTATGACCCACACTTTGAGTAAGCTGCCCCTCTTGCTCTGCCCTATTGTCCAGTCAGCAAGCATGATGTTGATGGAAAGGGCTGTGGGATTTCCTGGATCCTGTTCACCAGAACCCTGAAGCTGAGAGAGGAGGGGGCACTCCTTACTTACGCCCTCAGTATCCCCAGTGTGAGGACTCTGTCTGCCTCTGCACCGCATAACCCCGGTGGGAGTCTAGCAGGTTTGTCTTTGCACACATACCACTTCCTCTTATTACTGAGCCAGTGGCCCCTGTAGCCTCCTTTTTAGAAATACTTAGGCCTCAAGAAATATAGTTTATTTTCAGTTGACAAAGTGCTTTCCACCCGTTATGTCATTTGACCCTTGTAACAACCATCACCTACATCTTGCGGATGAGAAAACTGAGAGTGGGACCCACAAGCATTTGTCTTGACCCATGACCTTGAAAGGCTTCATGGGATTTTGAAACCTTCGTCTTCCCCTTGGACCACACCCATCCCTGTCCTCCCCTCCTCCCCTGACTGGACTTGGATTCTCCAACAGTCAGTACAGTCTGTGGGGATGGTTCCTGGAGGATAATGGTTCTTTCAGGAGAAGTTCCTCAACACTTCCCAGCTCCCAAGTCGAATTCCTTGAGTGCTTTCCTGGGGAGAGAATGGGCTTCCTCCTAGGAGGGTCCCCGGTTACATCTGTGCGAGTGTGGGAGGGGTAGTAGCTGTGTGTGGAGAGGAGGATTATCTGGAGGACAGTCATCCCCCATTCGGAAGCCAGTGAAACTCCTCCAGGCCCAGAGAGTCTGGTGTTGGTGTTTTCGTGACTGAGCTGTGGGTAGTGTGGATTTCTGAGCTCTCTCCTGTCATCTGTGAACGGTGGGTGACTTGTGCACCCGCTCATTCCAGGGTACGTGTAGCTGCTTCAGTTCCTGTGCATCAGCTCAAACCAGTGCCATGAGCTGCTCCTCACTGAGCCAGACCCCAGCCAGGCCCTGGAGATACAAAGAGCAGGAGGCTGGGTCTCATCAGAGCTTACTGTGGGGTCAGATCTCACTGGGGGGCATGTGCATGAGGGAGCCCTGGGAGGGGCTCCAAGCCCAAGGATTCAGGATGCAGGTCAGGAGAGGCCTCCCAGAGAAGGGCATGAGTCTGAGGACTAGGGAGGATGTGGCTAGACAAGGGGTGGGAGGGGCAGATGTGGCAGGTGAGGGAATGCAGGGTGGTAATGATTGGGGGGGACGTGGCAGGGTCAGGGCACCCTGAGACTGCAACTGGGTCATAACCTGTGTGGGGGCGAAGTGCGGGCTTGAAGCGTAGGATCTTAGGGAGCTAGCATCGGGACTGGCCTGAGAAGCCAGGGAAATGAGTTATTTTGTGTCACGCCTTTGATTACTACAGAGACAACGGGGAGCACAGTTGTGCACCGTCCACATTGATTCTGTGTCATGTCATTGCTATGGTTGATGTGCAGAGGGGTGTTCAGTCAAAACACATGTAAATGAAGAATGAGAGCCAGTGTTAGCTGGGGAAGCCCAACCTGCTGACGCTGTCTCTGGATGGTGACTTCTCTCAGACATCCCTTTGTGTTTGGACTATGTAGCCTGCAGAGCATCAGATACTTATACCGTTATTTGTGTGGTGGTTCTCAATAACCTAGTCCTTGGGTCCCTTCTCTATGAGAATCTCTCATCAGACTTGTTAGAAATACAGCTTCCCAGGCACTCCCTCCCCAGCCCTGAGCCTCTGGAGGTGGGAGAGCTGGCGTCTTCATCACAGATTTGTTTGCACACAGAAGTTGAAGAAGCAGTCCTCTGTTTTCAAGTCCTGAGCCTGTTGTATCCTCTCATGGATTTCAGACTTTGTCTAGGAAGTCCTCCTGAGCCATGCCCAGTGGGAGAGAAATAGTGGGTGATCCTCGGAGGTCGGGTCCTGCCTGTGGCCCAGGCCTAGGTGGGAAAGGTCAGTCTGGGCATCACTTGGCTGTGGTCTAGTGGGGTGGGGCAGGCACGAGAAGCCCTTCGTGGTCACATGGACGTCCTTGGTGCTGACAAAGGCTGGCTAGAGAAACCATCTCCCTCCTGGCCACAGGTGGAAAGAAAGTGGCGTTCTGAGTCTGATACCCCCTACTCCATGCACCCTGGTGGGAATCTGGGGTGATGTGGCTTCAGGTTTCTGTTTCTGGGGGATTCGGACTTCACTTTAGCTGGTGGGCATCGGCCTCCACAAGAAGTGTCCAGCTGGGACAAGGCTAGTGCTACCAGGGGCTGGCTGAGGGGGCAGTTAGTAACCATATGGCCAAGGCTGGTGGGACTGGAGGAGGCAAGGGGAGGGGAATGGAGTCAGCCTGGAAAGTGGTGGTTCTGGTGACGGGAAAGCAGAGAGTACCTATCAGAGGAGGACAGGACGTTATGAGGAGACTGAAGAAGAAACATTTCTAGAAGGGGATGTTGCCAGAGAGAGGCAAAGGGAGGAAGCAGGAATGTGCATCCTAGAAAGGGCTCTCATCCACCTCCCCAGACGTAGCAGCCTGAGGTGCGGGCCCTGGGCTGAGCTCAGGCCCTGACTGGCCCGGGACAGCCTACAAGCCCCCTCCTTGGCCTGCACTCCGTTTCCTAGCTTGTATAGGGGGGTGCTGGCCCCAGGTCCACATGCCCTTTCTGGCCCTGGTCCCTTGGCTGGGGAGGGGCCGGCGCTCTTGTCCTCTGGACCTCCCTCCCTCTGCCCCAAACCTCACCTGAGTTATTGTGGAATTTTTGCCCTTTTGCTGCCATACGCTTTGTGATGACTCAAATATCATCTTATGGACACCTTTCAGCGTCTTTCTCTAGGATGATGGAAACAGGAGCGTTTCTGCATGAAATCAGCCAAGGTGACTTTCCCCAAATCTTTTGTCTCTGGACTTGGATTTGAGTGTGGTGTCTTGGTGTCTTTCTGTCACCTTTTGGGACCAGTCAGGGGTGCTCCGTGCTTATTTGAGAATTACTCTCATTGTTATCTCTTCTGATTCCTTTGATTCTCACTTCATTCCCCAGCTCACCTGGGTTGTATGTCCAACCTGCTGCCCTGGCTTCATGATTTGTTTTTTCGGAAGAGCCTGAAGTGAGACTCCACAAAGTCTTCCTTTTATTTTCTCTTCCTTTATCTTGTCTCTGCTCCCCTTCCTTCTCTTTCCTGCAGAGCCACATCTCTTCCTTGCCAGAGGCAGAAACACCTTTCTGGAAGCATGGTATTTTTGTCTTATTTGGAGTAAAAGATTTGCAAAAGCAGAGACACTAGGACAAGACCTAGGAGGTGGGAACTCGCGAGGATAATGTGAGTCCTCTTTGAGCAGGCACGTCCCTCGGGAGTGCTAGGCCGGGGACGCTTGAGGAATCATATTTGGACATTGCCTTTCACATGTCTTTTGGAAATAGCTTTTCTTTTGATACTGGTTATGTGTCATATATGACTGGGCTCATCGGGTCAAGCTGTAGAAAAAGAACCTTTCTTTCTGTAAAAACTTGGTTGCTGTC